AGGGCTGACGGGAAGAAGGCAGTGGGAGGGTTTTTTTTTTTTTTTTTTTTCAGATTTATCGTAGATCTTTTCGACCTAGCCCTCTTCAGTCTACAGCAGGATCTGTTGTATTCATACCTCTCTCTGCCCTGTGGGGTGTGGTGGTGATTGTCGGCGCTGTGTCTTCTGTCTCCCCTGGAGCTTTGCTTTCCCTCCACCTCCGACAACCAAGTCTGTCAACACAGGTGAATCAGTGGAGATTTCTGTTATTATTACACCAAATATATTTTCATTAAAATCACTAAGAACAAGAACGTTGTGCTACAAGAAAAAGACAAAGTATAAAAAGCCCAACCCTCCTCCTCCTCTTCTTCATCATCACCTCATTTTTGTGGATTTCTGAACGCAGCTTCTCCATGTTACAAATGGTCTCTGATATTTTCGGCTGCAGGCTGCTGGGGTCTCCCATCTGTGGATTCTTCTCATACACATCCTTCATCTTGTTCAGGGCATCTCTGACACAAACAGCAGACAAAGTGAAGAAAAACAATGTGGACGTTTCCTGCTTTGATTGATTTAAGTCTGAAGAACTGGACTTAGTTTGAATATTGTTTTTTCTTTAGCTCCTACCTCTGATCCATCTCTTTCTGAAGCTCCTTGTTAAGTTCATCAATCCTCTGCTGCAGCCTCTTCCTCCTCTGCTCAGGCGGTAGGTGACTATAGTCCTCCAGAGATGGAGCCTGGAGATGAGAAACTACCTTAACGTTTTTGTTGTTCTGTCCAAACTGAACTTTTTGACACTTCAAAGCCACTCAGTTTACAGTCAGTGATGTTAGAAATTCACACTAGGGAAACAGAGCTATGTGAAGTGATGGATTCTATAATGATGCCATATTTACAACTAAAAGAACAGTTTTTTTCAGTTTTGTTCTGCCTGCTTGTCTAAAAACTCAACAATCGTTCTTTTAAATAACAGAGTTCAAGAACCATTACAAGCCTGTTATTAACGCCACTCTGTCTGTCACTCATAAAAAAAAAGTATCAGATTAAAATAAGCTGATGCACCAAACATCATGTTAACACTGAGAGCCAGTCATTGACCTTGAAAGTAACCCAACCACAGGGTCCATTAGTGGCTTCTCTGGAGCTCTCAGTCGTGACATGTGATCTCCTCGAGCAACAACTTACCATGAAGACATACAACAGTTATAATATTAGGAGTTAAATTTATATTTACCACATAATTCCATCGTCTGTTCTGAACTTTTTACAGTCACAAAGATGCAGCAGATGATTTGACCTTAAGGATCTTAAAGTATTTGAGATCAAGAACAAGATAATCTTTGTTCAAAACATTACAGGGGTTTATGTTCAAAATCTGAGGCTGAAGTGGAATTCAAACAGTCTGGTCCTGTTTTCTGTCCAAAATGTGAAGGTCAAGCTAGATTGGTGAGCAGACGAGTCCAAGTCAAGTCAACTGTTTTCTTTAGGTCTATTTTATAAATAACAGTTTTACGGCACAACTAAAACTGGAGGAACCATGTGACACAGGTGGAGTCTCAACATTAGTTGAATAAAAGTCTGGGGAAGAAGACACTAACTGGGAAAGGAACACGAGCTACTGGTGTCTACTGGGTTCCTTTACTTGATACTATGGGGGAGTACCTACTCGGTGAGGGGCTCATGCACAGACCTCTACACTTCTGGGTGGTCTTACAACTACTTTATACACACTAAAACCTCTTACTTACCATCTTTACTGACCACTGATGGATTTACCAGTGCAGAGAGATAAACAATATGGAATATTGGTTAGTTTTCATTGTGTCAAAGTCTGCCAGCTCAACAATAAAAGCCAATCATATGAAAAAGAGTGGAATTTATTATTAAAAAGTTATATAAGCTGACATTTGTGAAAAAGAGCAGTAAAGCCATCTGACTGTCAGTGTCAGTAAAAACACACACACAAAACACACACGTAGCCAGAGCAACATCAGGACGACACATCTGATGTTGGTAATATAGTTATATTAGCACTTTTCCCAACAAATCACAGCAACCATGAGGACACAGCACGCTCAAAATGTGTCGGACATTCCCACAAAGGACACACCGTTAGCCACCAAGCCTCCGTGATCTTGTGATTTTCAAAAATCTCGTCTGAACAGAACAGAGGAAGACCCAAGAAAATAAAGATGGAGAGCAACGAAAAGACAAACCACCAGAGAAATGAGTGAGAGATTGGACTTACAGTGTCTGCAGGGTCAAAAAAAAAAATACTGTACTACACAAAGGCTCTCTTTTATTTTGTATTCCCTTTGACCCTGCAGACACCACACTGAAGAACACTCAGGGTCAGATTCACCTCCATCAGTCCATCAAACACACACTGCAGAGAGTTTTCCTGACTGTCTCACCCCTCTCCTCAGAACCCTCAAATTCTGGGGGATCCTGGGAACTGAAGTCTTTATCTCAGACAGATAGTGGCTCACAAGGTCAGAACTAAAGCGGGATGTGGGCAGGAGGTTGGATGAGGGCCGGGGACGAGAAAAAGAAGAGGAGGAGGGGGAAGAGGAGAAAGAAGGTGGTGGGGGAGGGGAGAAGGAAGGGGTCTGAATGGGGGTAGAGGGAAGAGAGGACAATTCCAGAGGTCACAACATTTTTAGTTTTGGGAGTCAATATCACAATACCGTTTATATTTCTGTGGTGGTTTGATGTTTGGGGGGAGAGAGTTGTTCATTGACACATTTAACAAGTAGAACTGAATGTATAACAAAAGTCAAGTCACACTCTTTATAATTTTTTTAATATTTTTTAAAATAAAATTTTAAGTAACACAATTATTCATCTCTGAGGCTCAGCTGTGAGCAGATCCCACCCCCACCAAACCCAGTGTTTTTCTTCTCATCCCAACAGGAACATATGCTAAATATGCTGTTGTTGTTTGGAAACATTGCTTCACCGGACACTGTAACCCTGAGTTAGCATTTGTTTGTATTGTATCATTGTTTGTCTACTATTAGTAGGAAATAATAATGAGAAATGAGATTAATGATCTAAAATACAAACTTCTTAACAACCTGTGACACACACATGGCTGTAGAACACTGAGGGACGGATGATGTCACAGAGTAAACCAAGAGCAGAAAGGTAATGATTATCTAGCCTGAGGTGAATGAAGAGGGCCAAGGTCCAAAGAGTGGAACGGAGAACAATTAGAAAATGTTTTTTTTCTAAGACAATAAAGGAAAAGTGACAGAAAATAACACTTGAGACAAGCTGAGCACATGGTGTGTGGCAACAGAGACATTTTTGAGGGAAAGAATGGTAAAGTAACTTGTGCCACTCTGCAGAAGGGGTTTTTAAATTGGCAGGTGCATGACTTGTAAAAAAAAGAAGTAACTGTTGACTGTGTGACTAATAATGTTGAACATTGTTCAGCAGCAGGGTGGGGCTTTATCGGTCGCAGAGGAAGTGAACAATAGAGTCTGTTTTGAAATACCTTGGCTTAATTGTTCTAATTTTACTAAAGAGCTCATGTGAGTCCTAAAAATAACAAGCAATAAAAGCAATGTATGTCCGGAAATTAGTGTGAATTTGGTAGGGATGTGCCAAAATATCAAAAACTACGATATATTGAGATATTTCATCTTCCGTTGTTATAATAATACTGGCATAGAATATTGATATTGAGACTAATAAATCGACAAATAAACATAAGCTCGTTCTTATTTCTCAAACCTCCACATGAGAGACTCTCATCCATGTGAAGTGGATTCAGTAAATTCTGAACGCCTTCAGTGACACAGTATATGCAATATGTTGATTATCACAGAATCACTGTATCGTGATATTATCATTATCGTGTGCAAAATATAGCGAGGTACCTTGCGATGCCGAGCCCTACTATGTAGCGAATATATCCTTGTTTTTACTTAAAAAGTGTTCCCTTCACGTACCTTTGGTTTCTTCCCAAACAGCCACAGCTTGTTCTTGGATCTGCTTACAGCGTGTTTCGGGTCAGATCTTGGAGCTGAGCCTCCATCTTTTTCTTTGTCCCGATCTCCTTTGGGCGTGTTGCTGATGGTCCCATCTGAACCTGTTCTACTCAGGTTCTGGCTGAAGTCCTCAAAGGGGAAATCACCAGGAGGCTCGAAGCCAGACTTAAATGACTCTACAACAATGGCTGAGTCCTGGGATGAGGGCATAAAAAAAGAAAGAAAAGCTCACAATCTATTCAGTGTTAACTTTCAGCTTATTTCGTCTTCGTTTTACTTCCCACACTGGGCCACTCACCTTTCGCTCATTGACAGCTTTGGCAGCAGAAACCATTCCATCGAGACATTTTGAGACGATGGGGATGACTCTCCTCTCCACCTCAGCAAAGCTCCTGTACGTTTCACCAAGTTTCACTGTCCGACGTTCATCCATGTCCTGCAAATTCTGCAGGAGAGAAAAAAGCATAACTAACTTTATTCATTAGTAATGGTTTACACCAGACAAACATGTTAAACATTCAGTGACTGCACTTTCTCTGAACATGATAGTTAAGTGAAAGATATGAATGGATAAACTTGCTTGTTATACCTTGAAGATGTGTGGTATGGCATTGTTGAAATGTTTCCACTGTTCCCCGTTGAAGTTCTGTAGTTGAGCGGCGTATTCATTCTTACTCTCGTCGGCCGTGTGCGTCCGCAGGTAAAACTGGGCTTTGGCCTGAAGGATTACGTCGACATTTAAAATAGATTCACAAATAGAGACAAAGTGACCAGAGTATGGGAAAAACCATTTGCTGCTATGGACACAAAACAACAGTAAGTCGATTTAAAACAAGTCAAACCGGACTGGTTTTCGTGTCTTTTACCTCCATTTCAAACTGTTTATTTTCCTTCAGTCTTTAGCTCTAATTATACTGTAAGCATGGGGAGAAAAGAGAAGCTACAGTATAATTTTAGAGAGACCAATTACACAGTAGTACTAACATTACGTAAACCGAGAATCTGGCTATGAAGGAAGTGAGATGTTATTTTGCTGCTGGATTATCAAATGTCCATTTTTAATATTTAGAATTATTTTAAAATATAGTGTTCTTTAAACTGATTCACTTAAAATAATTTAAAAAAAAAAATCAAACAAACATGAGGTAATAAATGAATTATCACAGGCTTCAGGATAAACATGCATTTTACAGCAGGTGGAAGTCCATACCTTCTCCACTTCTGATTTGGTGGCGTTGATGTCGTTATCTAACTTCTCGTAGGATAACTGAGATTTTTCTGCTTCCTTACATTCTCTTTCAAACTTTCTTTTACTCTGAAAATGAGTAAAAACAATAAAGAGAATAAGCAACATTATCAGATAAAAAAAAACAGTGACGTGATCATCAGCATCTTAAACGGGTCTTAAAGCATCTTTGGTATTAAAAAACCCCACACCAAATTACACAGATATTGATCTGAGAATCAAAGGGTGTAAAATTCTGATGTCAAGAGAAAAGATATTGCGTTCAAGGTTAGAGGTTTTAATAATTGTTTGGGTCAGACTAAAAACTATTTCTATTTATTTGGACAGAGACCAAGTCAAATAGCACCAAAGGCTTTTCCCTTATCTGGAGAGTTTCTATACATGTTATGTTTGTCTAACTAAGCTACCGTTTAATGTTCTGATGGGGAAACATACAAAAAGCAGAGGTGAAGCAAAGACCTATTCACACAGCTGCATGTCCATATATACTGCATATCGATGTCAAGTAAAAGAAAAGAAAAAGCCAAAGGAGGAAATGATGAGTCGGAGTGAGGTAGTTTACTTTCTACCAGCCCATCTGGGTCACATTAGTACTGAAGGAAATACAGTGAGTAGCTGGGACATCACAGTCCACTCATTCACTAGTCACTAGGACAGGCATGCAGACCACACACTGCACAGTCAGTGAATCAGATCAGTTCTGCAGTCAGAGACGCTTCAGCCCTGACTATCACTGCACATGTCAAACCAACATATATATATTTAACAGGCAGGCAGCCAAACAGTAACAACAGTTATAATGAGTCAATTTTGGGGCTTATAAGGAGGCAGGAAGGAAACGGTCGCTATGGGCCAAATGTGGCACATGGGCCTTGCTTTGATGTTGGAGGTTAGTGTGTGTGTGTGTGTGTGTGTGTGTGTGTGTTTGTGTTCATGTTCCTGGACCCTGTCCAGTTGTCCCTGTGCTCACAGAAGTTTGCCAAGGAAAGAAAAGAGTCATTTTCTGCATCTTTAGTTCAAATTCAAGTCATTAACAGACATGAAACAGTGTTTAAATATCAACTATTAAATGATGCCTTCAAACACAAACCCTATCATTCTTGGTTGCTATGTCAGAACAAAAACAATGATTTGTGTTTTGTTTGGAATTGGCCTGAGACACAGATGACGACTTGTCCCACGCTTACGTTTCTGACATTCCTTGTGGGTGAAACGACTGCAGCTGCCTTTTCCTGACACAGGATTTATATTAAACACTTTTCTTTAACCCCGCCTCCTCCACCCTCCTCCTCTTGTCCCCTCCCTCCCTCACCCCTCACTTACATTGTCCATCTGTTTCCAGCATTGATCCAAATACTGTTGAGCTTTCCTGCCCTCCTGTAGGTGCTGCTCAATTTTACACACAGACACACATACACAGAAAAAAAAAGTTTTTAAAAATAAATCTATAATATGCAATAAAATTGTTTAAGAAAAAACTCAATACATCTGAATATATTATATCATTGCCCCGTATCGTGATACGTATTGTATCGCCGGATTCCTGCCAATACACACCCCTATCTAACATATTATACTTATTAGTAATTATTAATACTACTATACTATTTTATAAATATCAAATATTGGAAAATTAAACAAATGACATTTTCATGATGATGACCATTTGAACTCGTTGCTACACTCACGTGCTTCCTCTCAGCCTTCAGGTCTTGGCTGTACCTCATCAGCTCTCCATACACCTTGTGAGTCATCTCCTCGGCCACCACCTCCCTCTGACCAGCGTAGTCGTTGAGTTCATTGAGTATAGAGTAGAAGGACACACACGATGTGAACCTGCAGCAGAAACACAGACACATGTGTTAAACATTGCTGATGCCGCTGCACACGGCAACGTTTCTCTCTGATCTGTCACCAGGCCTCTGGACTGATGCAGAGTCGCTTTTATTGACTTGATTTGTAAACAGGTTTTCTTTACTCTTTTGTTGTGACCACACTGACAATAATAAAAATAGGAGATTTCTTTTCTAGTTCTGTTGAAATGTACATTTAAATTTAATGTGAAAAAAACAAAACAAAGATTTTTTTATTTGAAAACTGATAGAAAAATTGAGTATTAACAAAGCAGACTCACAGCATTTGATTTGTTATACCCGAAAAACTGAAATTGTCAGCAGATAATAATAATAACAACAACAATAATAATAATAATAATAATGTAAACTCTCTTAGGCTCCTCATCCTTTGAGCGTTTCGGACAATACTTTTTTACCAAGTTCCTGGAAAGAAAGTGAGAAGAAACCTGGAGGGTAAAACACTGTCGGATATTTTTAGCAGGGTTAAAAGACAGGAGACAAAGGAGCAAAATAAACAATAAAAACACATAATGTGAATAATGATGAATTAATGTAGTTGAACATCAAAGTCTCCGTCTACTCATTCCCTCAGGCTTCCACATTTGGAAGTGCATTTACCGAGGTATGAATAATTCAAGTAAACCAAAAAGATCTGTACAAGTAAAACATTTGCATGCTGTGTGTTTTATTCTGAAGGGAGTCCCTTCTGGAAATCAGAATCACCACAACTGCTTTAATGTTATTTTTGTTTTAATGGTTTTTTTTCAGAGCTGCAAGAAACAAACCAACAACAAATCATTGTGCGTTCATGTACCGTAGCTGCTTGGCGTAGTTTTGCTCGATGTCCAGCCTCTCTTTAACGAACTTTGCGTAGCGCTCCAGGAAGTCTATTCCCCACTGAGTGTGTTTGTCCAGGTTATCAAACTGGTCCTAAAATAGAGGAGGGGAAAGTAGAGGGGAACAATGAAAAATGAAAACAGGTTACATTTTTCTACCATTAGTTGTTTTTAAAGTTTAAGTTTAAATTAAATACATTTTGCATAAAAATAAAAGGGGTTTTAGGAAAACTGGAGGATAAATTAGACAATGGAATAAAAGATTAGAGTGAACTCAGGGTTTACAGAACTAAACAATCTGCTTGGAATTAAAGATTTTCCACTCAAATAAAACACACGTCCTCCCGTCTGTGACTCAGCGATCACAGTGTATTGTGTCACAGACAGATTTTAGTCCATGCACGTGTGAATCAAGCCTCGTGGCGCATTTACCTCATGCATCACTGGCATAAACAGACACATCAAACAAACACTCAAAATGATGCTATGACTGCTCACATTTCAAAATTACTGCTTTGAGAAAAAAGAAAGAAAAAAAAGCATAGCCAAAGAACAAAACAGATCGCTGAAAAGACTGACAAATTTGGTTTTCTTGCTGCTTTCCTTTTTCTCTCTTAAGTCCTTCATTTTCTTTTAGACACTAAGAACGGAACAGGACTTATTATACTGTAATGCTGCAATATTAGGGTAAAAACAGATACATTAAATCAGTTTACTACAATATAGGGATGTGGATGGAGAATATTAGCAATTATCTTTCCTGTTTTCTGTGTTGTGAAGATACAGTGAAAATCTTCAGCAGTAATAAACAGCAGCTGCTCGTCAGGCGGAAACATCGATTAGCTTGTATTTATCCTACTGCACTGGTCACATGGTAAATGCCTACTATCTTCTGTACAACTGCCCCCAGCCTGGTGTGCACACAAGTCTCTCCTGTCCATCACTTTACTGCATACACACTCTGTGTGTGTGTGTGTCCATCTTTAGTTGCCTCAGCCTGTGTCACAGTGTCCATGAATAAGTAAAAGAAAATTAGCTCATCCTGTAGTTTGTGGTGGGGCTGAACACAGACTCCCTCACTGGGGACATGACTACATCTCTGGGCTCTGTTTCTCCTCGGCCCACAGGAAGAGCAGAGAGAGGTCTGGAAGGACCACGATGGTTACAGCACAGCTGAATCTAGAGACTACAGTTTGGTCGAGCCTTTCTGCTGCTGCTGCCACTGCACCTGCGTTCACTGTAACTGACTTTTTCCGTTCAGAGAAACCACTCTCATATTCACTCTGGAATTTGTCTTCTCTAATCCAAATAACTGGGACAAAAGTTCAAGTTATTGCTGCAGTGTTTCCTCTGGAGCTGCCCTGCTGTTTTACACTTGTACAACTCTGCAAAGTGTTTTCAATTTGAAGTGAAAGTAACTTCCTCAATGTCTCAGAGTAATTGTCCAGAGATTTGGGACAAATTCAGACAAATAATGGGACAAATTCAGACAAATAATGTTATGTTTTTGTTGTACAAACATAACATTATTTGTCTGAACAAATAATGTTATGTTTTTGTTGTACATGCTCCCTTATAACTAAACGGATATGAATAATTGCTTACATTGAACACGAATGATTATAAAGTTTAAAAATCAGTTCAACTAACTTACTGTAACATGTAACGTTTAGGTACATGTAACGTTTAAACTCTCTCTCTCAATCCCAGAACAGTCAGTCCAAAAAAAAACAAGAACCAATAAAACCAGTGGCTCTCTGTCTTTTTACAAGGCATACCACCACAGAAAATATTTGGTTACCACCAGTGTGACCAACATTAAATTACAGCTGCACAGACCGACGCTGTTTTTATTTTTTTTAAAAGAATTTATACTTAATATGAGCATTAGCCTGTTTCTTAGACAATGCAACACTGTACAATGAAGTGGAACTACAACTTCCCCTGGAATTTAAATCTAAAACCACAGACACATAAACAGACAAAAAATCTAATTCCCTTGTGTACTACTCGAGGTCACCCAAGCAGCACCAGTGGTTAACAGTTGGAAAACCACTTTTATTAACATAGTTAAAATAACCAGCAGAAGATTTTAACCTTAACACTTGAACTTAACACATGAATTGGAAGAGTGAGGCAACTGAGCTCATTTAGCAAAAGCACAGACTAAATATACAGAAATGACATCTTACATAAAAGGTCTTCAGAAACAGGACCATAAACACCACTGACCGAGGAATTGAAGGAAATGGTTTATGGATGTGTCAGAGAATACCATGTAAGAGCAACACTGCACAGAAACAAAAAATATAATGACACAGAATATAAAAAGCAAACATTGGAAATAATGAGTCTGCATCATCTTTTTACAGCAGTGAACCCTAAATTATCACAAGTAATACTGTCTTTTCACCATTATATGCACAATCAGACTTAATTATTGGATAATATACACAGAATACCAGCATCAAAATTTCCATTCCTTCTCAGTTATGCTTTTGAAATGTTTGTCGATATTTACGCCGAGACTGTAGCCCAAATAGACCACAGGTCTGTTGTGGGTTCCAACTGACAAAAGCTGTAATGCTGCAATAATGAGCTCTAATGGCGGGGGTGGAAGGATAAATTAGTTTTTTAGCTCCTTAATGAGGGGGCACTGAAGACGCTCTGCATGGAGACTGCTCTGTGGACGCTGTGATAACCAACCAGCAGACCAGTGAGCCCATCTGCAGCCAATTGGAGAGCTCGACAGCCTTGGTGCATGAGAGACGGGCAAGGGTTACTGAGGGTAGAAATTGTTGTCAGGACAATAGACTAATTAAACACTGTGGCATTCCAGGGCAGAGTGAGCAGGAGAAAACACACACACACACAAACTCTCTCTCTCACACACTGGGCGGAAAATGTCAACTTGTCTGAAACACTAGTATCAGACGAGACGACCCCCAGGCTCAAGAGTCTGTAGTGTACTTGCTTTGTGTCTTCCATGTTTACCATCATGGAAAATAAACCAGAAAAAAGAAGGAATGTGATGGGTAAGACAGGGCTGTGTGGAAGAGTGAGGGAGGAGAAGATTGGCATTTGGGCAGCCACATTAAGGGGGGAGGTAGGAAAAACACGAGGGGAGGATGAAGAACATTTAATAGATGGAACATCCCGGACGTGGAAATGTACCTTTATTTTGCGAAAAGTTCAGATATTTACTTGATATCTAAAGCCTTGAGCAAAAGATTCACTTCAAAATTGATATTTCATATACTTTCAAGGATTTACACCAAGGGCAGCATATGTGGATTACACAAAAGACAAGTATTCCTCATGTCATTCCCTTAAAATTCAAATAGAGTTGATTTATTGATTTGATATAGATTTATTGTTAAGTGGTTGTTGTGTTGAAAAATCTCCAATTTCCATCTGTGGTCAAACAGCCAGGAACACAGGAACACAGTGAAATTCACTGACCAACTTTTCTGCAGGCAGAAAGAACATCAACGTCAAACTACAGCCAACTCTCCCAGACTGTTTACCAATGAATGTGGTCTCAACAATTTATGACCAATGCCAGACAATGTAATTTCAGGAGTAAAATATTTCAAGGTAATGTTTGAACAGAGGTAAAGTAGTAAAGGTAGTAAATTTATGAAATTAATTAATGTAAGACTACATACTTTGAGCTTAATTATCTAATTCACTTATAAAAACAAAGATTCAATTTTGGTCTGTCTCAGCTGTTTGTTCCACAGCAGGAGCTAGGATGTAGTTCTAGTCAACAATACAGCCATAAAACCAGAGGCAGTTACTCTTTAACCTGTCACATGCCTCTCATATATTACTAGTTTTTTGCTGATTGGAAAGAATGACACCTGACTATACGGAAAACCAAGAAGGCAGCACACACACACGTGACTCATGTGTTGACAATCACCGGCGCTAAATGACCCCATCATCTGACCTCTTCCGTCAAAGGATCAGTGCAGAGAGTCAGCGCTGTGGGGACTCTGCAGTATCTAAGTTTCAAACCACAGATTAAAATGGACAACCCTGAACAGGCACAGAGGCATTGAAAAGTCATCAAGAAAGAAAAACTACTCTACATAAAATATGTATTAAACAAGTTTGGAGCCTGAAGTTAGTGTTCTATTTCAAAAGTCAGAATTACTTTAGTTACCATCGTGACTCTGCACTATTGGTGATCCTTTTATTGTTTCAAGACTAGACCACGTACCACGGACGATTCACAACATTTCTTATTCAGCTTTGTGTTTGTGAGTAAAAGTCACAGGTAGATGACGGGATGCCTCTCCAGAACATGAAAAAACAACGGGAGTATTACATTACTGTCACATGACTACTTGTAGTACACGCATTCCACAACATCCGACAAAGTACTCCCAAACACTTTAGTTCTTGGGACTGAGCACAAATTACCTAGGTTTGACTTTTCAAGAGACACTTCTCCATTCCCAGAATATTTAATCTGTCTTTGGAAAACACACACACACACACATGCACCTGGGCACTCCTGTTTGTGGCCACTCGGGTTTCACAGCAACCTGATCTGCTCTTTTGTCACGCTTCCGTGCTGTTTCACATACACACCCTGACTTACTGGTTAGGCAAGAGAGAGGCTGTCAGACAGTCAGGAAAGGAAACAGATGATTGGACGTAAACAGATATCAATCTGACCTACAACCATGTCTGAGCATGCACACCGTACAACCCATTTCATATTAAAACAGTCATGGAGCATGTGTTGCTAACGCAATTGCCTTTTATGTTAGCAAAATGTAATAATGTTTTAGGATTAAGAAAAGCTCATGCTCTTTGAAGAGATAAGTGAAGTTGCTGAGCTCAGTTTACCACATTGTGGCTAACTGGCCGGCCCTGACTACACATGCTCTGGTTGACGTTTCTGTAGCATTGCAGCCCGTCTTTTCTGCCTCAAAATGTTTATTTCAGCAGCTCAGCAGAGCTTACTCAAAGTCTTTTTTTTTCAATGAAGCATATTTTCTCACAAAGTAAAGAAGAGTCTACTGAATAATCCCACAGACTTGGTTTCTTTTGTAAATGTCTGTCAGATCCTGCTTGTCTCAA